TTTGAGTAGAAATGTAAACAATAACAATCTCGAGCTGCATGCCTGGAATAATTCCGGTTAGAAAGTTTGCAGCTGCTTACTACATGTTATTCTGCGAGGCGATATTTTCAAACGGATAATTTTGTTTTCAATAAAAGAAATAAATTAGAAATTTCTGAGCTCAAATCTGCCGTATTTCATAAGATATTACTGTTATTATGTAATTCTGATGAGTTTGAAGTGAAAAGTTGTTTTAGTTATTTAGAGATATATTGTTAAAAAAGGTGACACGGTTGCTAGATTTTGAATAACTCGTTTTTTTGGTAGTCTAGATTTGGCCTCTTTCCATCAGTTCATTACTGTTTGTTCTTGTTGTAAGCTGTGCACCATCTTACGTTAGTGTTAACACTTTTTGCATTGTAAACACAAATATTGTTCGCATTGTAAACACAAGTAATAAGTAATCAAATACATTGCTTGCAAGAATCTCAAAACACAATGATGCCAAATGGCTTTAAAATACAACGGAAACAGTAACCCGACAATTTAGGCGGTACCGAGCTTGCAGCGTTCCCTAGTGTAGAAAACACCATCCATAAGGGATAACACTCAAAACATGGCTAATCTTGCAATTTTTATTTTTCACACATCACAATAATAAAACTTCCTAGAATATGAAGCCTGTTCACACACCTCCTCATAAGCATAACATAAGCGGAGGGATACATCGGAAGTTTTCTAAATTTCTTCCGGTTTTAAGAAGCTTGTTATTGCTTACATTCAGTCATCCATCCATGCGTATTCTCCAGCCAAAAACTTCCCAATTCGCTCTTCCTCTTGACCGATATCGGAATTTCGTGTATCGTATTCAATGTGAACGGGTCTCTTAACTCGCTGGATGTACACCGTTTTCAAGGATGATTAGAGTAACCTACTACAACCACGTCAGTCTGGTTTCTTTCCTGACAGCAGCCAATGAATATCTCTCGCTCACGTACGCACTTCTCTGTAGTTTGTCCGTGTAAAGAACTTCGATAACCATTCGTCTGGAGCAGTATGACTATGGTTACGGGGTTAAACTATTTCAAGAAGAGGTATTGGTTTGCTATTTAAGACATGTTTTGTATCTGGTTGGCGAGAGAAAGGGAATCAGGGGAGAAAGAAGCCCCCCTTTTTGAAATGCGTTATTTCTTATTTCTATAGCAGCAGACGACCTTAGACTTCATAGCGAAGGGAGTCCTTTCTATACACAAGCTATAAATTGGTGGCTACAGACAATCGAATACTCAACTATTTCCCTCCCCGACAGATAGCATCACTATACTATTTCACTTCGTCCTACGGTTCACATTGATTCTACAAGCAAATCGTCTCGCAGCGGATTGATCATTAAGACACGGTTCCCAGTAGAACACCTAGCATCACTGACTGAGGTGAGTGTGCGGGTGGGTGATCACTTGGATCAGTCTACAAAGGGATCGAGGGTGTGCGGTATTGATCCTCGTTAAACTGTTCTACCGTAAGGTGCTCGACTTCGCTCACAGGTCGTCGGGCTACGGAAGCGGGGGTGCCATCCCCTCTGCAGAGGATCAAAGTTGTGAAGGTATGTCTCTGGAACATCCTCGGGGATGTTTCCCACACCGTCGCCTATAGCTCATTGTGCAGCTCTAGTGCGACGCAAATAGACTACAACAACAACAACTACCAACAAATAGCTTGAATCAACATCGCCAACTCCCCAATGGAACTGGAATAGTGCTTTTACCAACGAGTAAGTTTTTACTCGTGAATAGAAAAAAGAATAATTAATTACACAAAGAAAGTGGCGAACATCATCACTTCAGGCACCTAAGGCAACAACTTTGTGCCCTTCGTTCCCCTAATATTATTTTCATCAAGGAGAAGTTATTCTTGGAACTTAGGGAGGTGGAATAATAATCTGAGAATTGAACTTGCGATTTTTTTAGCAAACAGTGGAGTAACACACTAACAACTTTTTTTTTTTTTTAATGAAATATTTGTTTACTTACATCTGGCATTATCGCCGCTGCCCATCCTGTTTGACAACAAAAAATTTTAGCGTGTGGTGTAGCTGTCATCTGCAATTCAGGCTTGCTATGGTTTTGAATAAAGGTTTAATGATTTTTTAATTTCAAAACTTATTAAATAGCCAATTATATTATATTCTTTTTCCAACTTGCGCACTGTTTCGAACATTTCCTGAAAACATTTGTTTATATATTCTGGTTTTCTTAATATTTTGTNAAGTGCTCGACTTCGCTCACAGATCGTCGGGCTACGAAAGCGGGGATGCCATCCACTCTGCAGAGGATCAAAATTGTGATGGTATGTCTCTGGAACATCCTCGGGGATGTTTCCCAGACTGTCGCCTATAGCCCATTGTGCAGCTGTCGTGCGACGCAAATGAACTACAACAACAACAACTACAAACAAATCACTTGAATCAACATCGCCAACTCCCTAATGGAACTGGAATAGTGTTTTTACCAACGAGTAAGTTTTTACTCATAAATAGAAAAAAGAATAATTAATTATACAAAGAAACTGGCGAACATAATCACTTCAGGCACCTAAGGCAGCAACTTTGTGCCCTTCGTTCCCCTAATATTTTCATCAAGGAGAAGTTATTCTTGCATTTTATGGAAGACGAATGGATGACGAATAATAATCTGAGAATTGAACTTGCGATTTTTTTTTTTAGCAAACAGTGGAGTAACATACTAAAAACTTTTTTTTTTTAAATGAAATATTTGTTTACTTACATCTGGCATTATCGCCGCTGCCCATCCTGTTTGACAACAAAAAATTTTAGCGTGTGGTGTAGCTGTCATCTGCAATTCAGGCTTGCTATGGTTTTGGATAAAGGTTTAATGATTTTTTAATTTCAAAACTTATTAAATAGCCAATTATATTATATTCTTTTTCCAACTTGCGCACTGTTTCGAACATTTCCTGAAAACATTTGTTTATATATTCTGGTTTTCTTAATATTTTGTTCGACTCCATGAAATAAATCATAGATATTTCTTTTTAGTTATTCCAATGTATCGTTTTAAATTGTGAGTTATGGAGCATGGGGGCTTGCCTAAGCCTTGACGAAGAAGAACGACGGGCTCAATTGCGGAGTGAAGAAATTGATAGACAACTCGCTGAACTTGCTAAACAGGAGAGAAATGTCATCAAAATCTTACTTTTGGGTAATAGAAAAATTGAAGTTTTGAATTTTACACTACTTTTGAATAGTTTTCGTGAATTATTAGTAGGTTTACGTACGTGGTGCATAAACTTATTCAAGATTAAATAATCTTGAATCGTTATGAATGTATTCAGTCAAGTACTTAAGATAGATTTCCGTATCATGATCTGTGGCAGAATAATCGCCAAGTCTTGGAAACTTCCGGGCAGTGACCCGCGAGAAACTAAAACAAAAACATCATAGAAAGGGACCAACGCGAAAGGTATAACTCGTAGCCACCCCCGGGCAATCATCTAGTACATGTTTTTTTTTTTAAATTGCAAGTTTAAAATCTATTTGGCACCTTGGAGATAGTAGTTGGCGTGACAGATCACGATACGAAAATATCCCCCAACTTAAAATGTCTAATTTTTTAAACCTCAATATGAAATGGTTACCTAACAAAGCGTCTGGATTTTAACAACATAAAAATAATCACCTAAGAACTCAAATTTCAATGCACAAAATTTGATAACAAATTCTTAGCTTTGTCTGTAAAGTAATGTCCAAAAATTTTTACACTCCTTAAAATAACATTAAATGCAGAAATTAAAGGTGAAATTTTTTATTGGGACAAACTGAATGTGGGAAATTTTTTTCTGCGAGAATTTTTTTTAAAAATTCCACAGCAATGCCAAAGTCTTCTGCCTAATACTTGTAAAGGGGATATTTCCATGCAAGCATCTGTTGTCACAACTACAATATACAAAGTGTAAAAAAGATTTTTCACTCGTAAAAATTAAAAAAGAAAAAAAATATGTTGATGTTTATTAGACGGTATCTAAAAGTTGTACCGCTTCTAGGATTGTGTTAAACCGCTTCTATTTCAAGTTTCTTGCGAGCCACTAACTAGAAATTTTCATAACTTCGTGATTATTTTTGAATAGATATTGATGTTGAAAATGTCTTCTTCTAAAAAATTTAAATATACTTGTGTGTACTTTACAGTGTTCTTCCCAATCATTGGTAGAAGGGCATGCCCTTTGATCCCCACTAATGCGCTCTTTTTGTAAAAATAAGCCCTCATTCCTTTAAAACACTTCCTTGTCATTCATATTCTATTTAAAAGAAATTAATTCACTGTTTAAAGGATCACTAAAATTAGTGTTAATATGTTTAATTGTTATTACTATTCTCTAATCGTTAAAATTTTGAAGTTTCTCTTTGTTTGAGAGTGGGTTGGTTTATTAATGAATCTTTTAATAGACTTTAAAATTATTTTTTAAATGAACACTTTTTTTTTAAATGCACCATTAAATGTTTATTTTCTCATAATTTTTTCAGTTAAAATTAAAAAAAAAAAATTCAGAAGTTGATTATCAATTATTTGTTTTTTTTTTAGTTGACTTTTTTTGAAACAATTTAATGTACAGAGATTGTTTTTTAGCACTCCTTTGTTTTTCACAACAAATTTTTCTCTCATATTGATAATACTATTTGAAATATTCACATAAAATAGTATGGGAGGGTAATTTTAAAAAAAAATGCTTGGAATCAAATTCATTTAATATTTAATATTGTATACTTTGATAAAAATTTTCGGGTTTAAGTCAGTGCCTTTTCAAAACTCAAAGTGCTCTTTTATGTGAGGAAGCACCTTGACCTTTTTTATTCCTAGGGAGAGTTCTGTACTGTATAGTGGTTTCTGTGGTGTGTGCCTTCTTTTGTTAAGTTTTTTCGTCTAAAGGCTGTCGGATTGTGGCCGAAACTCGATCATCGTGTTGATGTAGGTTCTTGAATGGAGACTAGGATACTATTTACCTATAACCAAATAAATTTATCTTCAAATTTGAAAACTTTTCAAACATTCTATAAGGACATTGTTTTTGGAATTCTTTTTCTTGATCTATATTTTATTTAGGGTTCATGCCAGTATGGCAACAATAGTCACCAAATGCTCTACAAATGTCATTGAAGTCATACGCATAGGAGACAAAATTGTTGCCTTATATATTCTTGAAATTTGAAAATAGTAAATGTAACAAAAAATATCAAATAAATTTATCATATCGAAAATTATAATGCAAATTTTATTTTATATATTGAACATTAACACCATAAAATATAATTTTTTATCAAATCCCCCGCATTTTAAAAAAAAAACTGTTTACTACTTTTATTGCTGTATGCCTGGTATGGAATTCAGATGCGTGGTATTAAAATGGAATAACTTAAACTGCCTGGTACAAAAAATTTGAAATTAAAATTTCAAATTTACGTGTTGCGCTTTGCATTAATCCTCCCCCCCCCCTAAAGTTTGTCTACTATATTGAGTTTTTAGCCAAAAAATGAATACTTAGGTGTTCCTATTGGACCACTAAGTTTTCATTGCTAGTGGGAACTCTAATTATGTACAATGCAAATGTTATAAGTAAATATTTCTGAGTTGAGATCCTTTAGTACTAATCTGTTGTTTTTTTCTTTCAGTGGGAGAGGTAAAAAAAAAAAACTCATTATCATTATGTTGCTTAGTTCGACCACACAATAGCAGGCTCATTTTTCACTAGACAAAATGCTGCTACTAAGAATTGCTTACATATTTACATTTATAAAAGTTAACATAAATTCGCGTTATCAAAAGTGAATCATTGCATTATTATTTTGTTAAAGATGGTAGTGCATTTTTATTTTAAATTTTGATATCAAACTATTTTGTATTTATGGTGTGTGTTTTTTCTCCCACCTTACCTCTCTTTCACCCAGACAAGTGTATCCTCGCCTTTTTTTGTTAACATATTTTACTTCTACTTGATTTTATTTTTTATTTTGAGAAAAGATATATTTTTATCTATCTATTTTTTTTTAACTTGGATATTTAGAGATTTAAACTCTTTAAAAAGAAATTGGAAAAAAAAAGCATCAAAAGAGACTATGAATGTAAAGTGTTTTAAGAATTAAACCTCATGCCTAAATTAAAATTAAGGCTACAAATAACTATTATTTTTTAACATTTTCCATAACCATATTGGATTGTCATACTAATTTAATTGGAGGCTAAGGGAATATTAAATATTGCTCTTTGATAGAGTAATCTTTATTAGATTTATAAATGTGTATTGCTGTATGTTTTATTAATTAATTGAAAATATACATTTTGGAAATTTGCTAGTTTTTTATTTTTTATTTATATGGTTAAGTAACTGCCCTCCAAATCTGAAATTGCCCTTTTTTAACATTTTTAGGGAGATCTGTAGCTTTATTTTTCAAATAAATATTTATATTTTATTGATTTTAAGAGTATTTTATAATTTTTGTCACATTATTTTTAAAGGTGCGGGAGAGAGTGGAAAAAGTACTCTTGTGAAACAAATGAAAATAATTCATAGTGACGGCTTCACCACTGATGAGTTGAAGAGCTTTAAGGTACTATAGGTTCCAAGTATTGCCTTTGACTCAACATATTTTATATTTGATGTAATCAGAATGGATATTTTAACGTCACAAAAATTTTAGATATGAAATAAAGCCTATTCTATGAATGGAAAAATAACCCATTTTAGATACTTATATATTTGAAAATTTTTGCCAATCTCATATTTCTATGCATTTCTATAATATATTTCTACATATATTTCTATATATAGTATATTCATAATTCAATGTATAAAATTGCTAATTCGGTTCCCATTGTTATTAATGTTATTGCCACTGTAATTAATTTCCATTGTTATTAATACTTATTAAAATCTTCGATAAGATTTCTTGCCATAAATATGATTGTTTATTGAAGAAATAAATCAACTGTAAGCTACTTACTGTGAATGTAAACTAGATAGCCTTATCTTTTGGCAAACACAATCATTTCATAGTCATCAATTTTTTAATAGAATAAAAGAAATTCTAAATCTTTTCTAAAAACAGCAGCCAGACCATTTTTTATAGATAAAAAGGCTAGTTTGCATTTCATATGGTCTTAGTACTCACAATAAAAGGAACTGATTAGAAATTATTGATTTAGAGCAGGGTTTCTTAAATTTTTTGTGTGTGAGCCTCATAATATTTATAAAAATTTTGTGTGGCCCAATAAACATTGCCCAAATTCAACTCATACATGAGTGAAACGATCAGTTTATAAAGTAATATATTATAGCAATTTGAAATCTTTATTTTTAAGTGGAGTTTTTTTTTTTGTGGAGTGAAGAACACTCAAACACATGGAAACTATCTGCATAAAATGGTTGACCTTCTGACTTCTCTCTGTCCACAGGGCTGATGTAAAATATCCTCAGTGGTAGAAGGATTATGGGTTAAAATCCCCTTCCTATCGGTTTGACCATTTGAAGTTATTGTGGTTCTTCTCTACATGTAACGCAAATGCAGCTTAGTTCCATCAAAAAGAGCTACACAATAGTTAGTTTATCCCAATGCTAACCGGGAGTTCTCTTGTACTCTGGGGTGGGTTCAAAATTCCGAGGAATCGGGTTTGAACTTGATAGTTATAAATTCAGAATTGGGTCACCTGTTTAACTGCGGTTTTAAATAAAATTCACTGCCATAGACTACATTATAAAAACACAATATTTTTATGCATCTTTTACGTTTTTTAAAATGTTAAATATTTCATTGTAAAACAACAACCTTAAATAAATTATTTTACTAGTTGATTTTTATTATCGTTTTTTAAACTTTTTAAGGCTTAATTTTTCTAGATTAAAATCATTGAGGATACAAAATAGTTCGTGTTTTCAGTGAAAAATCATTACTCAATAATTATGTACAAATGTATTTTATTCAGCTAAATAATTTCCTTGTGCTTGAATTAAATGTTTTTAACAAGTTTCAGCCTTATAAATTCCCTTTTTATGGAAGTTCTTGTCCCTAAAAGAAGAAACAGAAAAACTCTATTGCTATCTTATCATAATCACAATTTTTACTTGTGCAAATCGTTATCCAAAACCAGGTGTAAATTGAATGGACTGGCGTCCTGGGAATAAATAAGGGCAGAATAAACCATTTGATTTGATCTTCTTGATTGCTTCATTTTGACTGTATCTTCATAAAGTATCCAATCTATTGACTAGTTCTGGTACTGGACCTTTTGTAACTTTGGCTTAGATAGTTTGTCCATTTTCTAGTAATTGAAACTGCGGAAAAACGTATCGGTTTACCAAACGTCCAGTTAAAACGTAAATTTTTTTTGCTAATGTACGAAAACATTTACTTTTTTGGTTGCAATTATTTCTGATGTATATATCTTATAAACTACTTATATGAAATTATTTCTTTGCAGCCTACAGTCCTTGATAATATACTAAGTTCCATGAAGTATGTGCTTACGGGAATGGGAATTCTTCGTATAAATTTGGAAAATGCTAAAAATAAAGTATGTAAAGTAATTTTATCAGAGTTAAATCATGAAAGTCTTCTAAAAATTGTTTTGCCACTTTTCATAGTTTAATATATGCTTTGCATTAAAGAAATTTTTGAAATTTGTAATAAATTTTATTTAAATATGTTATTCTATAATTATGTATGAAACTTTATTATTAAAAGAAAATTTTATATTTTTGATAAGCACTCTAAAATACATTTTAATTTAGTTCTTTACTTGTCTTTGAATCTTTTCATTCTATCTATTTATTAGAAAAAGATTTAATTAGATTATAATTTCGTTTTTAAATGTTAGGAAATATGTTATGTATATATCAACAGTATTATGATGAGGTATTTTGTAATTTTGTGTCCTATTATTAGCTTATTGCTACTATTAGTCAGTTAAAGTTAATATAAAGTTACTCGTAATTTATTCTTTAATTTATGTTACAATTTGACGAAACTATGTGAACATTAACTTAAGATATCTCTCTTGAACTAACTTAACTGTTTAGATGGAGAGGGAAATATTTAAATATTCTTCTTTTTTTTTTATTAATTAATTTAAATAAATAAAGTAATGGTGCTTATTTACTCTGTTTGGCAGTGTCTTTCAATGTATGTAAAATTCATGATTGTCACCTAATCAAAATTTAAATATTAAGCTTGTAGTTATTTAGATTTTCTTTTAATTTTTTCTGGCAATATTATCAGGGGTCTGTCCAGGGCAAATTTACTGCCGTTTAGCGGTACTTTCAAAAATTCAATTTTAGGAAAACCAGTAGTTTCACAAAATACTTTTACCATATTTTTGTGTTGATTTTTTAATACAATTTTTAAATTTCACAAATTAAGTCTAACTTTTCAGAAAATAGGTACCTCTCAAAAAAACCTAGACAGACCCCTGATTATGACAAAACAGTTCGCCAATCAGCAGTATTTAAAAAGCAGTTTATTAGTATATATTTGTCTGCTTTTAGTATGCATTTTATTTGTCAATTTTTAACTCAAGCAACTTTACAATATCCCATAAACAAAAGAATAAATAAATAAAAACAATGAAAAATATGACAACCGAAGCTGAGGTCGTTGGTACCAGCCCCGAAAGTCATAAATGCAAAAAATTTTCTATCGAGAGAGCAAAATCTCTAAGTTGTTGCTCTTCTGGCGACATCAGCTTCAGTTGTCATATTTTTCATTGTTTTTCTTTATTTATTCTTTTGGTTTCAATTTCCTTTTGGAATTTCTGTTGCATTGCACGTTTTTCCACTGGAAATGTAGTTTCTAATTGCTTTAATTATTTTGAATTTTTTATTATCCCATAAACAATTTATAATGCAAATGAAATTTACTCATTAATTTGTTTTATTTTAGGCCCATGCTCAAACTATTCTTTCCTGCCAATGTTGTTTTGATGACAAATACATTATGCTTCCTTTTATTTGCAATGCATTGAAAAATTTATGGAATGATAAAGGAGTTAGGCTAGCTGTAGCAAGAGGTTATGAATATGAACTCAATGATTCAGCTTTATAGTAAGTTATTCTCCTCTTTGTCTAAATATTTCACTCTAATAATCATGAAAAATTAAACAAATTATTTCTAAAGTTTCTTGTTTTAATTTTATTTGATACAAGTTATTAAAAAATTCTAATAAGTAGAATTTATTTAGAATTAGTTTTTTTGTATGAACCTTACATTCTGTTAAGTGTTTCTATGAATCTGGGAAACCTGAAACTGTAAGGGGGTGGGAAAGCAAGATTATTTTATTTTATCTTCATTTTTGTTTACTTTTTGCCAAAACTCTACAACAAACTTGTGAATTGTACAATCTTGAAATGTATGGTAGAAATAAATTTTAATAATTGCCAATGAGGTTCAAATTAAATAAGGCTAATATCTAAGGCAGATTTTTATGTTAAACCTTCCACACATTTGCATGCACACCAAGTGTGCTTCAATTTCATGAAAATAGGTTTAAGATGAGTGGAAAGACCTATGTGCCTTAGAACTTTGGATAATGTGCATTTCAGCATATCCCCCTTCTCAAAGTAAAATTGCCATATTGTGGTAGCTTTTGTATTTAATAATGAACATTATTATTTCATAAAAAATTTTTCACTGCTTTATGGTTATATTTTCCTAAATTTAAAATAAGAATATTAACTTTTACAAAATGCTCTTTAAAAGTTTTTTTCTTAAAATCTTGTATTAACCATATTTGCAGTTTACTAGGGTAGAAATAATTATTTGAAAAAAAATGAATTTCTCCTTATTAATTACTTTTGTTAGTGACTAGTGATGTAATTGTTGCCTTTTAAACTCTTTGTTTAAAATAGTGTGTTTAAAATCATTTTGTTTTCTTCTAAGTGAAAGTAATAATAAATTACCAAGTCGAGCTAGCACTATTCTCTCCCTATACATCTGAGGCAAGTCCAATTTGCTCAACAGAATAGAAAAGACTAACATTTTGCCTACACATTAAGAAAACATGCCAAAGACAATGAAAGAATCGCATTGTCCTAGTCACCATACGGTAAGAGGAGAAGCAAGTATGGTGACAAATGAGAGAAACCAATTTAATTGACCGACTTGAAGTCTTGCCGGAGAGATTGCACTGGATAGGAGAGGGTGGAGGTCAGAGATTGTAACTTCATGTGCCTTTCAAGCAAGAAAAGCTTCAAAGAAAGTCCGACATTTCCCCATTATCCTGGCAGCCTATCAAAATAAGTTAATGAAAATATTCTTTTTATTATTAAACAGTTACATAGTACAGTAAAAATTTATAAATTTCATCGAAAGTAAAATTAAAATATTATAGTTTTAATGAAGCTTATACTTATTTAATCAATGAATACCTTGATCTAACTACAACGAAAGTTTGTTAAGTTGTACAGTTTAAACAAAATGTTTTATGTAGTTCTTTAAAGTTTTTGTGACTGAATTTCCATGATAGTTTTCCATTTAATTGAATTGTGCAAAATTTTGAATGTTATTTTCTTTCTTTTCAGTTTATTTGAAAGCATGGATCGCATCTGCTCAGAAAAATATGTGCCAACTGCTACTGATGTACTTAGAGCACGTGTTCGTACTACAGGAATCATAGAAACTCATTTTAAAATTAATGATTTTGTGATAAGGTATTTTAATTTGCTTGTCAAAAATTTGGCAAGATATAGCATGTTAATATTTATAGAATTCAATGTTTACATTAGTTGTACTTATGTATGTAGTATTCAACTTTTATTTTCTTTAAGGTAATATTCAACTATTTTTAAATTTTGAATCATTTGCTGTAATGAAGCAAATAATCTGCCATAAGCATAGTATGAATTATGGCAGCAGAAAGGAATTTAGAAAAAAAATTTATATGTAGGAAATAAATTTTGGAATTGACTTTGTTTAACAGTAGTGTTTGGATAAAAGGGGTTTGAATAAGTAAGATTCAACCATAATTCCGTCAATTAGGATCAAATAAAGATGAGATAAATCTGTGTTTTTGTTAAATTTTTGGGCCCTATTTGAAATAAACTGAAAACATGCCATTCTCAGTCTTGTTTTAATTTAGTAGAACTTTAACTACATAAACCCCATTCATTGTGTCTACCAATTATTCAGATCACTTTAAGAAAAATAATTTGAACCAGTATTTCTTGATTTATGTTCTTTCAAAATAAGGAACAGCATCTATGAGTTAGATTCAAATAAAGAAAGTTAAAAGTGTGCATTAAACTCTAACTACCTCTTTTCTATGCTGATTATTTGTAGTAATGTGTAATTGATTGAAAAGGTAGTAAACTGTATTGTGTTTTAAAAAAATTCGTTTCAGAATGTTTGACGTTGGTGGTCAGAGATCTGAACGTCGTAAATGGATTCAGTGTTTTGACGATGTAGGTGCTTTGCTGTTTGTTGTAGCATTGAGTGGCTATGATATGGTTTTACAAGAAGATAACTCAATTGTAATTCCTCTTTTTACTATTCTTCAATTTATGTAATTTTTTACTTGATAATCTGTATCTGTAAAAATATTTTTTCATTACTGGTATGCTTGTTCCTAGTGTACACACATAATTGCTCTTATTTACTAAAAATTTGTTTTAATCTATAAAAAAAAAGTATACTGTAATCTTTAACAGTATTGAATTTTTAATTAACAGAAAATCTTTAGTAGATGGTTTTCTAGCCTTTTCATTTATGGTATGCTTGTTTGTAGTGTACATGTATAATTGCTCTCAATTAGTAAAATTCTTTTTTTTTAATTCTATTAAAAAAGCATATTGTAATTATTGACAGTGTTGATTTTTTAATTAAGAGAAACCCATTTATTAGATGGTTTTTTAGCGATGAGAATTTTTTTTTTCTTTCTAACTGGCAAGTTTATTCCAAATTGGAAAAAAACTGTCATAGGAGTAAAAGTTCCATGATTTTTCCAGTAAAAGTTCCATCCAAGTATAAGAAACTTTTATTTTTTTTTAAAAAAATATCAAATATCAAAACAATAATTCTTAACACCTAATGTTTATAGTTGCATTTTCATTTATATTGTTTTTTTTTTTAACAGAATCGTTTACAAGAAAGCTTGCAGTTATTTTCATCAATATGCAACAATCGATTTTTCATCAACACATCCATGGTAAGACAAAATTTACGGAAAAAGAAAATATTTATTTATAAATATGCTGTTTTTGAATAATTTATTTATAAAACACGTTCATTAATTCAGTACAAGACAATGCACTATAGGGAACATGGCTTATGGTGAACTCCTGGATATAGTGAACAAAATGTTCGCTCCTGTGCCTTGCTATACACATATGAAGTTATTTTTTGTGGGTATAGTGAACCAAAAAAAAGAGGGGAAATTGGATATTATGCACTTTTTTCTGTCTTCGACTGATTTTTTCTTCTTCATTTTTTGGTAAATTTGAAATTTCTACATAAAATACATGTATCAATTTTTGAAACTATCTTTTGAGGGGAATGTAGCCATATTTTTCTTGTTTGCTCCTTCTATCTGAGCTTCCCATCCCAAAATTTTTTGTATGCAAGAAGAGTAATAAAAAATAAAAGTTAACTCATCTTTTGTTACTACATCATTTTTGTATTTCTTTTTATTGGTCATTTATTTAAATGTGTAATAAAAGGGGGCAGTTTGGAAAAATTAGTGAAAATTGTTAGCAGTATGGATATAGTGAACTCCTGGTTAAAGTGAAACCGAAATTTTGGTCCACTCGGTTCGAATGTATGTATATTGAAAATATATATACATTAAAAAAGATAAAGGATGTATAGAATTATTATGATAATGTATCTTCGTTAATAGAAAAAAGTAATATGTTTTAAAAATTATTAAGCTATTTGAATTTTAGCAACGATTAAATAAAGGAATTTTGGGAATAAATACTGAAACCTTCTTGTTCATATTCATTTAATGTTCATTTAGGCCTGGGTATGAAAGAAATTTGTTAGGTCTTTTGCTGCTAGTCGTGTCCATTTGATTATAAACATTTGAATTTTCAAAAAAATGTAGAAGTTTGTTAAAAAATAAATTACAGATTAATAATATGTTGAGTAACTGTAGTGGTTTTCATTAATTCGTTCATTTTTATTTATTATTGCATGTTTTTATTTTATTTTCAACTAATATATTGCATGTTTTTTTTTAAATTGCATTATGTGCTTAGATATGCTAAATAACTTATTATTAAAAGTTAAAAGAAGCATGCTTTTTTTATTTATAATTTTGCATGGCATTTGTTTCAGATTTTATTTCTGAATAAGTTAGACTTGTTTCGTGAAAAAATATTATACTCTGGAAGACATCTTCGCTATTATATGGCTGATTATGATGGTATGTGCTTGTTATTATTTTTCCTTCATAGCTTATGTTATTGAGTAAATTATTTTGTTTAAATCTTTGAGCATGGAAATATTTATTTAAAAAATTTATGGTCTAAACAAAAACAAATGTTATAACATGAAGTCGCTATGTTGTGAAGACGCAGAACTAAGGCAAATATTTATTTATATTTTATAAATATTGAACTTATTTTGAGAAAATGTGCATATTATTAAAAAGAATTATAAAACTTATTGAGTAATTGACATCAACACAGTTCTTATGTTAAGGTGTCAATAAATTTAAATGTTTTTGATTTACATCTTTTAATATTAACCCTGGAATTTTGTTTCGTTCATATGAATGCTAATTCCCTTGTTAACGGCATTAATTCCTCATGACCTCACCATAGCGTGTGGAAATGCATTTTACCCTGATTTGCCCCTCAAGGTCGCTGTAGTTTTTCTTGTCTTTTTTCTCCCTCAGCTACTCTGATTTTTCTAGTTCTGTTTCTTATCTTTATCTTTCTATTTTTCTTTGGCAACGTTACGTTTTTATTTTAAATCACTTATGTCAATTTTTAGAAAATCTGTGCTTTTTCTAGTTCCGCAGTGAACTGATTGTAAAAGCACGGTTCCCAGCAGAACACCAAAATCAAGCATATCGTGCTGCAGTCAGTAAGTGGGTGGGTAACCACTTTGATCAGTCTGCCTATGGACAGAGATTGTGCAGCATCGGTCTTCGTTAAACTGTTCTACCGTAAAGTACTTGACTTCGCGTGTAAGTCATTGGCCTACCAAATCAAGGGAGGCACCCCCTCTGCAGAGGATCAAAATCGCAATGCCGTGTCTTCGGATTATCCTCAGGGATGCCTTCGGATTATCATGCGAGTGTCCTCAGGATGCGGATTACCCTCAGGGATTGTACAGCTCTAGTGCGATGTAAATAAAGTACCTACCTTGAAATTTTCTTTCAAGAGAATGATTGTATTAAATTGAAATACCTTGTTCTCCTGTCTTCAGAATTGCATCTTGATTTTTATTATTATAAGCTAAGTGTGTAGAATTTTGAATATTTGAAACACTTTGCAGTTTTAATGTAATTCTTCTATTCACTTCAAAATTTTTAGTTTCTGTTCTAAGCAAATAGCGTTAATCTGTTAATGAGCAGCCAATCTCGCTAAAAATCATCATACATCCAGAGGCAGGTTAACACTAAGCAAGAATAAAATTAAGAATGAGAATAATTAATTAATAATAGAATTAGAGAAAATTAAGAAATATAGTGCAACATATTTCCTTTCACTCAAACTTCATTCTATATTTAGTTTAATATTTATTTTATTTTAAGGTCCTGATTATGATGTTGATAGTGGGGCCTTATTTGCGCAACATAAATTTCAAGCTCAGAATAAACATACAGGCAAGGTGATTTACCCTCATTTCACTACAGCTACAGACACCAGCAATGTTCAAGTTGTTTTTCAAGTTGTGATGGACACTATTGTGCGAGAAAATTTAAAAACTGCCACATTGTTATAAGATAGAGTTGACTCTTCTTCAAGTGCCATTCTTATTTGTATATTATTCCATTGTCGTTTTATTGTTAAGAACAGATTGTATATTTTGCATAGAATTGTTTGATGTTGTATTTTAAGTATTTTGATGAAGCATTTAATATGTTGACTTAATAAAAAATGTTTTATTTAATGTTGTATCTTATTTAATGTATAGATTTTGTTATGTAACAGGGGGAAATCACTTACAGAATTTTCTTTTTTGCCTTGGGTGTTATACAGAGTAAAAACCTGTGAATAGTCACCAGTTTTTAAATCGCTCTTTTTCGGTGGTTAATGCTATGATTTTACATGCTTTTAAAAATCCCAATATTTTTAATGCATTATTACAATACATTAATTTAGAAGTTTAGTTAATCACTTTTGATGCTCTTTGGGTGTGTTGATTTAAATCCAATGTCTTTTAAATCGTTTTTATTTTTTATAATATCGATTTTTTAATATGTTTTAACGTCTTTAAAGTTTTGAAAAGTGTATTTAAATGAACGTGTTTAAACATACTTTATTTGTGCTAACTTCGTTGCATATCCAAATGACTTTTGATCATTTTTCAGCAGTTATTATAATGCATCTCCTCATCATTTTTAAAATTTTGATATTTTTAGATTGGTATTACTACAATTGATCATTAAAAGAATCATTTTTTGTCATGCTCCATTTTCGCCAATTGTAAGGTAAATGTACGAAGTTTTTTTTTTTTTTTTTTTTTTTTTTTTTTTTTTTTTTTTTGCAGCAGCAGCATATTTGGCATTTTTCCTTATGGTTTTGAAAATCCTGATACATTTTAACACAATAGACTCTATTTTTTAAAAAAAATTGTAGCTTAAAGTGCTTTTTTCAATAAAATATATAAGCTCTACAAAACTTCTTATAATTTATTTAAAACAAACTTTTTATAAAGTTGAATTATATTATCTATTAAATGTTGAATCTTATTTTGCAAATTTTTTTTAAAATTAAACTTTCATTTATATTACACAGTATTTTTTTTTTTAATTCTATAAAAATTAAAGTTTTTATTGTTAGAATTTATATTAAAATTTACTTTTGTATTATGTAATGTGATAAATAAAAACAATGATTTTTTCCAATGTTTTTATTCATTTCAATTTATCTTCATTTTTTTAAGTAATCAGTTATGCATTTTTTAAATGTTTAAACGTATTTAATTTTATGAAAACATATTACTAAGTTAACTGATTAAAAGAATTTAGTGCCTAAGACAGCAATGATTCTAAAGCTATGTATTACTATAGTTATTGTCAACATGTCTGTCTAAATACTTGGGCATATAGCCCGTTGTTGGTCAATCTGCTGTGCATGTGGCCCTTCACTCATAAAGGCTGTGCACCCGTAATTTAGACAATTTTTCTATTATGACACCAGTCACGTCATAAAGTCATTGACTGTTTTAAGCCAGTTATGTGCACACACCTTAAATTTCTTTTCACTTGTCATTACTGCTGCTTTTTTAAGCTCATTGAAAATGTGCATGCTGCATTGTGATAGATCTGAACATTAGGGTCGGTGTTTTAATTCTTCCCATTTCAATTTGTTGTACTGCCTTGATTTTTTAAAGTTTAGAAATGCTGCAGCATAGAAAAACTCTTCAAGAAAGTTTAGTTTTGAATTTTCTTCTGAGGTTTATTAACTTTTCCAAAAACCACTGATCATTATCTCAAGTATCAGAAATTTGACAAGAAGCTGTCCATTGCAACAAGTTGCACTATTGTTTGTCACTTTTTTTCTTGCTTTAAAGGATTAGCTTTTTAATGTATCCCATATAAACATTAATGTTCAATAACCATGTAATTTGTGAAATAATTAAAAATGATAGCTATACTTGGTACTTTTGTATTTCACTTATTATGCCATTATAAGCCTAATAAGTTAATTTTTTTGTTAAAAAATTTTCTTGAAATCATTTCTAGTAAATAATTTTGCAAATCAAAAATAGCTGAATTGCTGTCTATTTGCAGAGCTGAATTAGTTCAATAATATAAGCAACTTTGGTATAATTTGAAGTGTCTCTAGGCAGGTTAAAAAAGGGAATAATAAGCTCAATACAGTTAATAAAACTTTGATGTGTAATAAGGTAAGATTCAAGGATAAATTCACCAAGTGTAGTAAAAAACTCTGCTATCTTCCTCTTTTGGACAGTTGTGCAGTTGCTTGTAGTATCTCTCCAATTATATCAGTTATGGTGACTAAAGCTTGTTTCACGAACATGGCCACCTAGTTCAGAACTACTATTCAAAAAGTTTGTTTTTAAAAAAAGTAGTACTTTATTTACATTACACTAGTTATGCACAATAGGGAACAATCCAAAGATATGACATTACAACTTTTATTCTTTATGTGTGGAGGGGGAGGGCGGTTACCCAATTTTGTTAGCCCTATGACCTGTGCACAAAGTCTAGCACTTAACAGTGGAACATTTCATGAGGATTGATACCACACACCCTCAGTCCGTTGGCAGGCTCACTGGCATCTGCTAGTGATGCTATACTTAAGTGATCTACTGAAAACTGTGTCTTATAATTGTCCTCTGTGGGACAAACAAAATTTTTTTTTAAAAATTAACTTTATAGCCCTATAAATATTACAATAAAATAAATTTCAGAAAGCTTTGAGTATGGCCTTTTAAAAGTATTCGAATATTGAATCATATATGTGTCTGAAACTGTGAAAAAGGAAAATGTTCTTATTCGAGAGCATGTTTATGTTTGTGATTCGCAGGAGATATTTAGTTATATAAAATTGAATTTTTAAAGCATTTCTTAAAGAAAAACATGTAACATAGTTAAAAAATTAAATATGTTTCCATGTAAAAGCTTGTGATTAATGTCACCATTTATCAAAAATGATTTTGTGATTGAGTGTTTATATTACTATTCGTTATCAAGTACAAACAGTTAACACNCAACAAGTTGCACTATTGTTTGTCACTTTAAAAATTGCATGAATGGGTTTAAAGCTGCTCAGTTTGGTTATAATTTTTTTTTTACCATCGATTGACTAAATTAATAAATATTAACTTAAAATATTAACTTTATAGCCCAATAAATATTACAATAAAATAAATTTCAGAAAGCTTTGAGTATGGCCTTTTAAAAGTATTCGAATATTGAATCATATATGTGTCTGAAACTGTGAAAAAGGAAAATGTTCTTATTCGAGAGCATGTTTATGTTTGTGATTCGCAGGAGATATTTAGTTATATAAAATTGAATTTTTAAAGCATTTCTTAAAGAAAAACATGTAACATAGTTAAAAAATTAAATATGTTTCCATGTAAAAGCTTGTGATTAATGTCACCATTTATCAAAAATGATTTTGTGATTGAGTGTTTATATTACTATTCGTTATCAAGTACAAACAGTTAACACAGAACAACAAAGTTGTGAGGGGGAAAAATTAAACAATTTCTCAACCTTTGCCATATAAAAATATAACACTACTAAACAGAGATTCGAAAAAATGTTATAGACATTGTTGAACCTGTTGACAAAATATTACCAAGTTCAATACAAGAGAATATATTTTACTCAATTTTTTTTACAAAGCACAAAAAATCTTTTTATTAATATCACATTAATGAAATATTAAAATTAAACTTGAGTAAATATTGATACAACAATAAGAAAATCATGCTGAATAAAATAAAATAATTGATTTACTTTGTAATCTTTAATAGGAATAAAATGTTTGTAATAAGGAATTGTTAATCGAAACTATTCAACTCTTTTTATTTTTTTAAGTTTAGAATAAAATGAAGCTTGAAAATATAATGCAGTTGGAGGCTTCTTTTGATGAGAATTTCTATTTATTCATCATTATTTTTTTTAAATTGCATGATGATTTTGTTCTTTGAAAATAACTTTTACTTCTTTGAGATGTTCAATGGTTACATTGTAAATCCACGTCATTCTCCGACTATTTTCTTGACAGTTATTTTTAATTACTTTTCAATTTTATGACCCTTTTCATGTAGTTTTGAAAACTCTGATATTTTTAATACAATATTATTGCAACACGTAAATTTCAAATTCGAGTAATCATTTTTTGCGCACTTTAATCATGACGATTTCATTGCTAACATAGTTTTCTAATCTTTTTCTTCATCTTTTTCTGTTGATTTTTTTTATCTATTTCAACATGAACAACTGAAAAATGGATGAGGTTTTTAAATTCAGTAATATGATGTTATTGTGACAACAGAATTTCGAATTTGTGCAGTTACTTTTTAATACTAAGTCGTAAATTAACCACATTTTCCAATTCAGTAATCATTTTATTGCAATATCACACAGTAATGATTATGTTGCATTTTCTGTATCCCAAAATGCACTGTAAAAATGTTAATAAGTATCCTGGTTTTGCTACTAGTATTTCATAGCACTACCAAACTTTTCTATTGATTTCAAAAAAATGAAATCTTACTTTGACATACAACAAGCAGGAGAGATTCATTTAAGATTTAGCTGGCACACAACAAAAAATTTTGAGAGAAAATATATATTTGTAAAGAATATTATTTTAAAGCCATTTTTTTATGAGATTACAAATTTAAATAATCCAATAAGAACATAGTAAATTGAACAAATTTGTTTTTTACAAAATCTTTTCATTGATTTTATTAACACTTTTAGAAACCAGGCTGCATTTAAGCACACTTTTGTGAATGAACCTCCTCTTACAAATCATACAATTTTAAATAGGTATTGTAAAAATATTTTTTTTAAAAAAACTATTCTTGAAAACTCAGTCAATTCAAAAGCTTTTTAGTTGATATGGAAATACTATCGTCCACTAGTATCCGGCATTCCAATATTTGACATAGTTCTCTCAAGGTATGCAAGGGGGCCTTGCAGTCCACCAGGCTGTGCTCCAGCCATAGCATGTTGTTGAGGATGCATTTGTTGAGGCTGCATAACCATGCCTGGTTGCATAGGCACAGGTGATGATGTCATTGGTGGTATACCATGATGTTGCATCATGTGGTGCGGATGAGTGGGAGGCGCAGCGCCTGATTGTCCAACTTGAGGTGGTATTTGATTGGATGGACCTGGTTGCATAGGTGGGATGCTTTGAGTTGGCTGCGAAGGAGCAGGGGGTGCCGGTGGGGGAGGACGAGGCATACCAGGAACATCCTGTAGAAGGTTTTGCCATACTTGGATCTTTTCATGATATTTGTCAAGGAGTGCATCTTTTCTAGCAAGTTCATTTTTAAGCTCTTGAATACTCTAAAAAAAACATAAACTGTAAATGAGTAATTCCTTTTTTAAAAAAGAAATTAGAGTATGTGGGTTTTAATGAAATCCACATGAAACAAAAATACTTTAAATTATTCAATAATTTTTAAAAAAAGTTTGACGCAAATTGCACTACATATTATAAACTAAAAAGATAAAATAAATGAGAAAGACAGTATGATTTCCAAACAACATTTTCTGATGATACTGCACTAGTGTAACCTGTGTTAAGAGATTATTATTATTCTGAGTTAATAACAAATTGATATTTCAAAGAATTCCGAAAAGAATAAATCTCAAACAACACCTATCAAACTACAAAAATGCACATTACACACAAGAATACATAACAGCATATTTAAAACACCTACTATTTGTTATGTTATAATAAACTCAAATCCTAACTCTTTTGATTTTTTAAACAAATTTCATTTCTGGAAATGTAATGATATCAACAGCTTCCAGAAACAGTTCTCCATCATTGTTATATAGAGCAAAAATCTGAATTTATCTAGAACATCGAAAAACATTTTTATTCCAGAGCTGATTTGGTCTATTTCAGTGACATCACTTTTTTTTTCAATACAGCCATTGCTGACTTCTGGTCTGTGTTTTATCTGTTCTTATAGTGTTTTATATGCAGAAAAAAAATTCAACTATTTTGTCAACATTTAAAAATTAACATTTTAAAATATCATTAATAATAAATTTTATTATATTTTATATAAGTGTCAAACAGCTGCCCCAATTCTGAGTTTATGATTATCAATGCTTAACTTTGTAGTCTAGTAATTTTGAACCCAATGCAGAAGACAAGGGTCAACTGGGACAAACCATTCTTCATACCATTTTATATATTTTTTTCTAATATTATAAAGGTTTGTTTTCTTGTTTCCCCTCATTTATTTTAAAATTTTTTATTTTATGGCCGTTTTGAGTTAACCACTACCAATGTTCAATTCTATAGCCTAGTAATTTTTAACTCAATCTAGAAGACAAGGAAATGATTGGATCAAGTATTTGGTAAAATTTGCCTCTGTAGAGGGCTTTTTGATGGAACTCAACTGCATTTGCATTACATCAAGAGAAAAACCTCTCACAGCAAGCTGATCTATCAACCGTAGAGGATGTTTTATGTCAGCACTGCAGTAGTGCGAGCCAGAGGCAGAATTAGTATCAATCAGCCATTGCTTGAATTCGAACCTGGGTCACTTCATTGGGAGGCGACTGCTCTATTCTCCAGGCCACTGCAGCTCATTAATAATCCATTAAAATTGGAGTTTTAAAGGAAACTGTAAAAAAGTTAACTAAGATACACCCTGAATTAAAAATTTGTACAAGCTGTGGTTGAAAATCACTGCGCAGAAGTTTGCTTTCAATGATCTGAATCAACAATCCTACGCAGCGTCTTTGATTTCTAAAACATGTAACTGTTCTTTAGCTGCTACTATTGCTTTGATGAGGTTGGTCTGACTAGACATATAATAATAGATATACATAAATCACATAAGTTTTTTGTCAAAAACTCATCCATTCTAGAAGTCTCATGAAAACTTCATACTTAATCTAATGTTTCATTATCTTTGTACTGCAACTTACATAAACAGAATAATTTGTATTTAAAATGAATAGTTTTTCTAAGATATAATATTAAAATTGTAATTTTTTAAACTTTTAAGTTGTTTATCTGTAAACTATATAAATATAGCATTATAAAGTTTTTCACATGTTATGCAATGTTAAAGTAGTGGTAAGTAAGAAATTTTCAGAAGAGTTTTGCCTAGAGACTCAATGGTCATGGGGTTAGTTAAAGAAAAAAATACATTACAATACAAATTACATTTTGATAAAGTAAAAATTAATTCACTATGCAAAAAATAGAAATAGTTAATCATTATCTTGTTTTATGTTATGTAGTTTAAATGGTAAAAATCTATTATTATAAATTAATTATTTTACTTTTATCTAAAATGCAATCTTCATTAACTCTCATTTAGAATAAGCATTATTAAGTAATTATTTCCTAAAATATATAAATGTTAGGAGTTTTACCTCAACCAATAAGTGTTCAGGTTTCTGCTCAGATAGTAAAAGTCTCTTCTGTAAAAAGAAACAATCCATTTGCTTTGAAACATCCAAGAAATGCTGAATAGTAAGATCAACAGCTGAAAAAGATGAAACAATAAAAAAATCTCATATATACGCTTCGATTTCGAAATGAATTGCAAGCAAAAGCTATAACTACATATAGGGATTTAAAATATTTATAGATTTCTAAAAGAACTATTTTGGAGAGTGTGTAATGAAAATGGAAATAAAAAAAAGGACAATCTTATTATTCAAATGAACTTGACGCAGTTTTGATGAAGCTAATGAAAAAAAGCTTTAGAAGAAATTTCGTACGAATTTCGAAATTTACAGATAGGATAGAGATTAGCTCTTTAAGGGAAGATTTCCACATCGATACCTGAATCAAAAGGCTTTTTTTTTTTGTTGCTGATAATAGTCGGCGCGAAAAGGAACAAATATCCCCCGATATATATACATACATATGGAAATGTTCCCCAATAAAAGAAAACAGAATTATAAATGATATACAACACATTTAGTAAATTTTCCTTACAAGTTCTTGTTTCATCAGAATCACGCGAGTTGAAATGATCAGGATTTGTTAAGACCGCAAGGCAATCCTAAAAAATACAATACAGATAAGTATATCGAAAAAAACATAGTTAATCAGTTTTATTTTGTAAGTTTTCATACTTGGAAAGCTTTCTCGAATTCATCCACTATATGAATGCCTGGAGCTAAACCTGCCATAATTTAATCAAACTACAGAATTAAGTAGATAGGAAGATCAAGAAAATTTGTGAAATCGTTAACTTTAAACTAATAAAATACAAAACTTATTTATCAATATTCAAAATATTTTTTTCGAAGAGTGAACGAATAGTTTAGAAACTTTCTAAAGAATTTATAATTTACTTATAGCTTACATCGGGTTTTATTGCCATAAAATATAAAAAAAGGTGACAAGCCTTTTATAAAAATTATTTTAATCAAGGCATTCTTTGATTTTATTAGTATGTAGCTTTCTTTAAAAGCTATCGAAAAATTCTTTTATGAAATCCATCACAAAAGTTTATTTTTAAACAAAAGTAGAACTAATAGTTTACAGTTAAAAATATAGCTACATACTCTTGTTTTACAACCGTGAAGTAAACAATTTCTGAACCTAATTTGTAAAAACAAAAAATAAGCATTTGAATTCCAAATTTATGAATTCAAAACCGTAAAATAACATTTCTATTCAAACATACACTTTAAATATTTGTGTCGCAACTTTAAAAGTGAAAACAGAGAGATAGTTAAATTGTTTGCTAGTTATTATAGAAAATGCGCGCTCATGTTCTCTCAAATAATGAACTAGCTTTGTTTTATATTGCTATATCTAGTTTTTAATTTAGTATATAATTTCTCTACTAAAAGTATTTAAAATATTATTATATAAATATGGAAAAACCAAGATGTATTAAAAGAAATTTTAATCATTCCACATCTAAGAAAGTTGGATCAAATACCAGTAACATTCTTATATCACTGATGAAAGAAGTGAATTTAAACCAAAGACTGCAAAATGAAGTTCTTAGTTGTGTTAATGCTAACAAACCAATTCCATTTATCCCAAAAGATCTGATTAAATCAAAAAACATCGTGAAAACTGCGGAAGTTAAATCCTCTCCCTTAAAGTTGCCACCAAAACCAATACAGAGATGTCGAAAACAAATAATAGAGTCTGGAAGTTATAATGTTGAAAAATACCGACCAAATCCATCTAAAAGTGAGTTTGGGTGTTCAAATTTCATCATTTTATCTTAACTTCTTACACTATTTCTTTTTACGATTCACTTTTTATTTTTACTGTTTTGTATGTTTAAAAACTTGTGCAATCATATGGTGTACTCTATTTTCTTGATGAAGAAGCTCTTAGCTTAACAACAGTAAATATTTTTTCTAATTCATTATACGTATACAGGGATCTGTCCAGGGTAAATTTACTACTGTTTAGTGGTACCTTCACTAATTCAACGTTAGGAAAAACGGTAGTTTCACGAAATAAAAAAGCAAGTTCTCATGCAAACCCCAGTCTCGTTGCAATCTATGGAAAAGAGGAGCTGTTTAGCGAATTATCTTTTACGGAAAGGTAGCACGTGTTTAGTCAGATAGTGCAAAAATGTTCTCATAATAAAAATAACTTTTAATGATAGTACTATTAAATGCATGTTTTTATTAAATTCTAGTTTAAATTCAACTATGGATAATGATTTTTATGGATTTTTAAATTTGGATACATTTTTAAGGCCAAAATTTTACCATACCAAAATTATTTTTGAATATGTGAAAAAAAATATATAGAAATTTACCAGTCATAAATAATTTTTATTTGTAGTGGCAATTTTTGAAAATATTTTCTTACTTTACCATATTTTTGTGTTGATTTTTTAATATTATTTTTAATTTTCACAAATTATGTCCAAATTTTCACAAAATAGGTACCTTTCAAAAAAACCTAGACAGACCATTGGTATAATAACTGGTCACTGTCTCTTTTGTGACTTGGTGATTGCAATTGGCACAAACAATATGGACTAATAATTCAATTACTAATAAAATAATTATTAAATCGCACTAGAGACTTTTAAATTATCTTAATCTTCTGAAGTTATATTTCTTTACATCTGAATTTATTATATTGTTATGGAGAATTGTATACTTTCTGTAATATTACCAGGTTTATTTATTTATTTTTATACCTTTATAATCTATATTTTAATAAATCTATTTTATGAAATCTGTGTAAGTTGACCATTTGTGATGGTAAACAGTCACTCCCACATGTGGTCAATTTATACAGGACAGTGGTCAATTTATACAGGAGGTAGTTTATAAATGTATTTATCATTAATACATTTTGTATTGTAACTAAATATAATTGATTTTAAGATTGTTTTTAAAAAGTTACTTTATTTCTAATTGTAATATACTATAAAATTGCTTAAGTTACTAAATCTATTTTAGCTCGACCACCTCAAGAGAAAGAAAGATTTCAAAATATTATGGCATTTGGTGAAGACATTGACAAGGGAATGAAACCAGCATTGAAAGAAAACATTGATGATACCAGAGATTCCACAGATTTATTTGATGAAAGTAAGATTTTTGCTGTACAAATATTTGTATTAGTTTTTGTATTTATACAGATGTTGAAAGTATTGCTGGGTATTAATATTTTTTTTTTTGTAATGCTTAGCACTTAGTCTAAGATTGGAATAATAGCAAAATAACAGTTAAAAATGCAGTATTTTTAAAAACAAAGATTAATAAAATTTTACCTTAGAATATGACAAGATGCTGTGTGGGCTTATAGCACCCAGGAAAAAACTCAGTTTTTCTACCCCCTTTGCAATAGGGTGTATGATTTAAAAGAAAAACATTGTTTTACAGTTTATTTTATCATCATTATCTCTTACTATTTAATTTTGCTCTTCTCAGTGAAAATTTGAAGCNTATTTTTTTTGGGGGGGGGTGATAATTGTCGGAGCGAACAGGAACAGATATCCCACGATATACATATGGAAATATTCCCTAATTAAAGATAACAAAATTATAAATGATATACAACACATATAGTAAATTTTCCTTACAAGTTCTTGTTTCATCAGAATCACGCGAGTTGAAATGATCAGGATTTGTTAAGACTGCGAGGCAATCCTAAAAAATACAATACAGATAAGTACAACGAAAAAAATATAATAAATCATTTATATTTTGTAAGTTTTCATACTTGGAAAGCTTTCTCGAATTCATCTACTATATGAATGCCTGGCGCTAAACCAGCCATAATTTAATCAAACTACAGAATTAAGTAGATAGGAAGATCAAGAAAATTTGTGAAATCGTTAACTTTAAACTAATCGATTACAAATCTTATTTATCAATATTCAAAATATTTTTTCGGAGAGTAATTGAATAGTTTGGAAACTTTCTAAGGAATTTATAATTTACTTGTAGCTTACATTGAATTTTATTGCCATAAAATATAAAAAAAGGCGGCGAGTTTCATATGAAATTTATTTTAATCAAGACATTCGTAGATTTTATTAGCATTTAGTTTTCTTTAAAAGTCATCGAAAGATTCTTCTTTAAAGTCCCTCACAAAATGTTTTTTAAACAAAAAAAAAATTTATAGTCTACAGTTAAAATTTAGCTACATCCGCTTGTTTAACAACCGTGATGTAAACAATTTTTTAACCCAATTTGTAAAAACAAAAAATGAGCAATTGAATTCCAAATTTGTGAATTCAAAACCGTAAAATAACATTTCAATACAAACATGCACTTTAAATATTTGTGTCGTAACCTCAAAAGTAGTAACAGCGAGATAGTTTCAATTATTTGCTTGTTATTATAGAAAACGCGAGCTCATGTTCTCTCAAATAATGAACTAGCTTTGTTTTAAATTTTATATTACTATATTTAGTTTTTAATTTAGTACATAATTTCTCTATGAAAAGTATTTAAAATATTATTACATAAATATGGAAAAACCAAGATGTGTTAAAAGAAATTTTACTTATCCTACATCCAAAAAAGTTGGATCAAATACCAGTAACATTCTTATATCACTGATGAAAGAAGTGAATTTAAACCAAAGACTGCAAAATGAAGTTCTTAGTTGTGTTAATGCGAGCAAACCAATTCCATTTGTCCCGAAAGATCTGATTAAATCAAAAAACATCGTGAAAACTGAAGTTAAATCGTCTCCCCTAAAGTTGCCACCAAAACCTATACAGAGATGTCGAAAACAAATAGTAGAATCTGGAAGTTATAATGTTGAAAAATACCGACCAAATCCATCTAAAAGTAAGTCTGGGTGTTCAAATTTCATCAGTTTATTTTAACTTCTTACACTATTTCTTTTTTTTTACTGTTGTGTATGTTTAAAAAACTTGTACAAACATATAGTGTGCTGAATTTTCTTGATAAAAACTCGTAGCTTAACCACCATAAATATTTTTTTTCGAATTTCTTATGTGTATAATAACTGGGCAATGTCTCTGGTGGCTTGATGATTGCAATTAGCACAAACAATATGGACTAATAATCTAAATACTAATAAAATCAGTATTAAATCACATTAAATATTTTTATATTATCTTAATCTTGTGAAGTTATATTTGTTTACATCTGAATTTTTTATATATATACCATTGTTATGAAGAATATTGTATTTTTTCTATAACATTACCAGGTTAATTAATTACTTTTATACGTTTATAATCTCTATTTAATTCATCTATTTTGTGAAATCTGTGTAAGTTGGCCATTTGTGATGGTAAACAGTTACCCCTTGACAGTGGTCAATTTATAGAGGAGGTAGCTTATAAATGTATTAAGCATTACCACATTTTGTATTGTACTTGAATAGAATAGTTTTTAAGATTGTTTTTAAAGAGTTACTTTATTTTAAATTGTAATAACTATAAAATTGCTTAAGTTACTAGATCTATTTTAGCGCGACCACCTCAAGAAAAAGAAAGATTTCAAAATATTATGGCATTCGGTGAAGACATTGACAAAGAAATGAAGCCAGCATTGAAAGATAACATTGATGATACCAGAGATTCTACTGATTTATTTGATGAAAGTAAGATTTTTGCTGCAAATATTTGTATTTATACAGATGTTGAAAATATTACTGGATATTGAAATTTTTTTGTAATGCTTAGAACTTAATCTAAGATTGGAATAATAGCAAAATACTAGCTCAAAATGCAGTATTTTTAAGAGAAAGGTTAATAAAATGTTACATTAAAAAGGGTAAGATGCTCTGTGGGCTTGTAGCACATAGGAAAAAACTCAGTTTTTGTACCCCCTTTGCAATAGGGTGTATGATTTAAAAGAAAAACATTGTTTTACAGTTTATTTTATCATCATTATCTCTTACTATTTAATTTTGCTCTTCTGGGTGAAAATTTGAAGCTTATTGATTAACAGAAACTTCAAGCTTTTAATTTTATTATAAAATGTCTTATATTTATAATTTAAAACATTTTATTTTCTCTATGGAAATGTATTTGTATACTTAACAATAATATATTTGTATACTTAGCAAAAGCATATCAGTTTTTTATTGTTTTGAAAAAGCTAATATTTAAGAAACATTTTGGAAAGTATTCAATTTATTTAAAATCTTTGTCAAGTAAAAACTTTCCTTAATTTGACATTTTTCATGTAATATAAACATGAAAAATGTAGAATGAACTAGATTTTGTCAAATTTGTTATTATATTTTGTGAAGAAAGAATATTTCATTATTATTTGTTAGTGAACAACTTACATAAAAAAAGATAAAATAATGCATTGAAAAATTATTGGTTTTTATTTTATTTTGTGCATTTTTTAAATACAAGCCTTGTTTTGAATAAGAAAGGGAGGAAAGAAACAGTCTAATTGTTATATTTATACTGTCATAACTTCTTTCTTTCGTTTTCGTATTTTTTTTTTTTTCATTTCTTTTGAACCTACCTAAAATGTCTTAAAATTGACTTTTACGTCTTCTTTTGATTAAAAATAAAATGTTTTTGTAATATTAAACAAATATTATATAGATATTAGACCAGTTCAATTTAGGTTTCTTATATGTTTTCACAAAAAGTTTAGAAGAAACCAAATTTTTATGCAATGTAATACTTGTAAAAACTTTTCTTAAAAATATGTGATGATGCCGAACTGTTCGTTCATTTATATATAATACTTGGTCACAATAATATTCCATAAACGGCATTCTTTTATTGTAAAATAAATAAATAAAAGAAATTTAGTACATTTACATTTAGTACAATTTTTCTTTTCTCAATAGTGTTTAATGGGTTTAAAATTTATTGAATGAATCACTGTTTTAGTACTCTTGGAAATAAAGGAAAGAAAAGAATTCATTGAAGACATGCGAGAACTAGGATTGGCTAAGAAATACTTACCTGAAATTCAGTGTCAAATATCAGTGGTAAGTAAAGAAATAAGTTATAGTCAATTATTTATTTTGGTATTTAAACACTTAATTTGTGTTTTAAATATTGTGCATAATTTCTTAAATAATTCTTTTATTTCATGGCATTCCAATGTTTTTTTAGTGTACTGTGTATAGTTATAGTGTTTCAGTTCAATTTTTTATATTTATTTGAATACAGAAGAATAAAATGAACGAACAAGCACATTCAATATGCTAAAATAAACTTATATTAAAGCACATGTTAGTGTGATAACTTAAATCTTATTAAAATCTAACCTGAATTTAAGTTTTATTCAAAATGTTTCATATTATGCAATGAGACAGACAAATAAGGAAAATGTACCAGGCTGAACTAAATATTTTTTTTTCAAAATTAAATGTTTATCTTAAATTTTAATAATATCAAAGGTACATTTAAAGCTATAATAATATGGGTTTACAAAATTAGTTTTTATTGACACTACCCACAAAAAAAAATGTAAAGAAAATTTATAAGTAAGAAAATAATTAGCAAAAGTGTAACATTAGTAAGTGCATACTGTTACTTTACTGAAACTTTTCTACTCTCTTCTAACTCTTCTACTGCTACTTCTATTAATTGATACATTTTATAAATCTTCAAACTTTAAGAAAAGATTATTTTCTGAGAGTATATAAAAACAAATTTCTCTCTGAGCAGTTAGGAATATTATAAAGGGTCTTTTTTTCTTTAGATTCAGATTTTTGTGATAGATTTTTTCATGAAGTTTGGAATTTTAAAGCAGGTTTTCTTATTTTAAAAGTTAGGAATTTTGGGAAAGATTTTTTTTCTTCCGAAATTTGAATTTTGTGAAGGGACTTTTTTGTTGTTTTGATTTTGTGAAGGGTTCATTTTAAGGTTTCAGTATTTTATGAAGAGTCTCTAAGCAAACATAATTTATTTCTAAATATACATCTGGTAAAATTCTTAATATTAACAGCTTTTATATTGTAAGAGAACTTATCCATGTTCTATTTGAACTTCTAAAATGTTCACAAGGACGCATTACCCAACTATCGCCGAGCACCTAACCATAGTTTTAGGGCTTTATCTTTTGATGGGTATGGTAAGAATTGACCCTTGTCAGATGAGGGGGATAGTGCCTGAGCTGGCCCCTTTCTCTTCAAACTTCCTCACCACAACCAACGAGAGGATTTTCAGCCGTGGCAGATTTAACCTGCGCCTTTCAGCAGAAATATGTCGGTTATTTTTTCAGGTACCAGAATGGAACTCACTACCCCCCAATGTCCTAACCAACTGCACCACTGTACAATCAATATTTATATAGTTTTTCATTTTTATAGTTTTTTTAGATATTAACTTTATTTTTTACTATAGATTGAGATAGTTTTTCTGCTTTCAAAATTAAGCCTCCAATTTGCTTGTCTTATCGCCTTTATTAAATTACGTTGTCTAAACATTTTGAACAAACATTATTAATTGTAAGATATTAAATAGAATAATTTAATGATTACTTTTAAATGCTTTAAGAGGTATTATTGAATAGTGAGAAAAGTTAATATTTGTGGTGAAAATAAATTGATATAATTATTATTCTAACATAAAGAAAAGGATTTGTATTACTTAATTTACATACTTTTTTTCACATCTTTTTATCTCAATGTGCTCTAATTTTTATTTGAAATATAGTAGAACCTCAATTATCCAAAGTAATTGTGACTGATATTTTTATTGATAAATCCTGAAAATGGAAATTTTATTATTACAGTAGGGAATCGATTATCCGGAACGATCAGGACCATCGCTATTCAGGATAACTGATTTTTTCGGCTTTCTGAATTGCTGCAAAAAGCCGTTTTTTTTTATTGTTAAACCCAACTAAAAAAAATAAATTTGGAAATAATCTTAAAAAAAAGAAGTAATACACTAATGATTATTTCCAAAATGATGGTAAGGTAAACATCTTTCAAAAAAGAAAAAAAAATCCTAAAATCTTATGAGGAAAAAAAAAATATTTTTTTGAAAATGGCGGGAAAATTAATTGAATTTCGTTCCGGTTTTTTGGTTTTCCGGTCTTCTGATTTCCGGATAACGGGTTCTGTACTGTACTATAAAGAATTTAGTTTAAAATAATTTAAGTTTTTTCTGTCGAAAAGTTTAAAAGTAGTTGTGTCTCATTCTGAATTGTTAGCTGATTTAATGTATTTATCTTCCTTAACAAACCTTTGTCAGGATTTTTCACTGTGAAATTAAACTCCCCCCCCCCACAAATAATAAGCTTCTTTTAATTGAAAATGCGATGATCGTGCAACTAAACAATTGTCATAACATTATTGTGACATATCTCTTCAGCCATTATCAATCAAATATTTTTTTAGATCTCATGATAGTCTGTTGAGATTGATGCTACGCTCTTTAAGATATTTGTCTTAGTAAATTTTTTTTCAGTAAAAAATTTGATTAGGTTCTCATGGTTTCATCTTTCAGTCCAATCAAGTCGTCATTTGACCTTTGAAATTTCTAGACAACTTCACATTTTAATGCAACATGAACTTTGGATACGAGACCTAGGCGTCACGTTTTTAATTCTACCAAATAATTGCATACATATTCTATGAAAGTAACTATAGATACACACAACCGGAGCAGCCCACATCTTCACAGACTACCCAACCGGGCTATGTAAGATATCTAGTGGTTTCCATACCTATAATTTTAATTATAATTTATGATGTTGAAAATAAAAAGTAACAAGTATGGATGAAGCATTTTAATTTGAATATTTCATTTATAGCTTTATTATGACAACATGTTAACTAAATGAACAGAAAGAAAAAAAAATCAATTGCTGTTAACTTAGGTGTTCAATTAAAAGGGATTTGGATAATGAATGTCCCAGTTCTACTGTATTTTAAATGCCATAAGTAGAAACAAATTATTATTATACCTTATTAATTATTATTAATTTTTCATTCGTTTCAGAGACTAAAAGAATTAGAAAAACTGGATGAGTTAAGAGCTCAAAAAATAGCTTCTGAGTTATAATCTTTAAAAAGGATGTAATCTCTAAATATGTATTATCTCAACAAGCAAAAAATTTTATATATCATGTAATGCTACTTTGTATTATAATTTATTTTTAAATTGAATTTTTATTTATTAAAATATATTCACAATTTACACACTTTCTTATTCAACAAACATTTCAAATTTTTATGGTTGAATGTTATTTAACCTTATACTTTTTTTATAATACAATCCATGCTTTTTATTAAAGCAAACAACACTCTTAAATTTATTTTCTTCTGAACTACAGGGGTAATTATATTAAGCATTCACTGTATTACCATTAAGTAATTTTAGTAAACATATCAGAAAACTTTGTGCTAGTGCTAAACTAGTTTGTGCTAGTTTATACTATTGCTAACATTTTCTACTAAATTTGATGAATGTATACATTATAAATTTCATATTGTTATTTTTCATGATAAAATTTTTTTTATGATAAAAATTTCAAACAAATTTAATCTTTACCAGTACAAACATAAAAATTTTACTCAAAAAAGAAAAGCCAAAGAATTTAGGAATATAAAATTTCTTAAAAATGCCGTATTTAAAAATAATGAATTTTAAAATGGAAACATTCAAAACTTACATTTATACATTTCTTATTTTATTAACTATGCATTATATTTTAAGAACATTAAAGAAACAAAACTAACACAATTTCATGTTATAAATGAAATTAACTATAATTTGTTAAAAAAAAACTTTATTTAACAAATTTAAAATCTCTGCAATAATTGTAACATCAATAACATAGAAGTTTCAATTAAACCTTAATTTCTTGAACAAACTGTTAAACTACACAAAGGTACTTTAAAATAAATCTGCATCGCCCTTAAATTTTAGGATGAAATTTTTAATTTAAAAACACTTTCTTCACTTGTTATCATTGCTGTAGCATTCCTTTATCCCGTATTTCTTTCAACTTGGTCTCAACTTCTTTTTTCCTGGATAATTTAAATGTAGCATCACAAAAATCAAAGTACATTCCAAAGGAATCAGCATTTTTCACTTTCATGTCATGATACACAACAGAATCTGTGTATTTTGGCTTACAACAAATATAAAACAGCAAAAAGAATGCTCCCACCGCAAAACAGCCACCCATGGTGCATGCAAGAATTAAATCATGCTTCTGCAAGTCCCTGTGTTCCTTAAATACTACCCAAAGTGCAGTGAATGCTACATTTTCTATTAAAAGTACAAGCAAAAATATCAGTGGTCTTTTATGCTTTTTTAAATCGAACATTATAGGCCAATATGTAAGCGAAGGTAGACCAAAGACTGAGAAGACAAGAAAGAACATGGCGATTTTTCTCTTTTTTGTGAACACCATGGATGGGGATTCTTTGTAATGCGTCCTTATGGCGATGGAACTTATCCATGTTGATATGAACAATCCATGAAGGATGCATACGATGACCATCCATCCATGGATGACTGTTGTAGCAAGGGAAATGGCGATGGCACGAGAGATCATGATTGTCATCCAGCCAGTATATGAGAGTGTTCCAGTTAGTATGCCATCGTCTCTTCGCCTGACAGCTGCCATCATTGACATAAGTGTCAAACCTGATGCTATGATTTCCCCAGTCACTATAATACAGAATATCGGTTATGCGTAAATGGATATATTTTTATTCGATACATTTCATTGCATACAAAAATTAATACACTAGGCTTAAACAGATATACAAAGGATTAGTTACACTAGATGCCACTAAAATGACTGACGTCTTGAAAAATTAAATAAAGAAAGGAAAGAAGAAATAAAAGAAAGAGATTCTGCAAAGGAAACTAGATTTTCCACCAATTTTCAATTTTACTTACAAAGTTTGTCAACAGATGGCACTACTGAGTAAGAAAAGTTATAAAACAATGATTTCAAAATAACATTGTTTTCAACAACAACGTGATGCAGTCTAGGGACAAAATTAACAGAGGCCTGTGTAAATGTTTCAGTTGCATTAGTCTAACATGCAGCTGAAGGCATTGTTTTATCGTTTTTCTATCGACAGGACCATCTGTTAGCCTACTTAGTAACTAGTTTTGAGAATTAGTTGGAATAAAACGGCAGTTTTCAAAGCAGAATGCAGCAAACTGTTGCTTTTAATTTTTCTTTATTTGATACTTCAAATCACTGATCATTTTTGGAACACATGATAATTTAAAGACTTATATTTTTTAATGAAACAATTTAACTACATGTAGAAAAAAAATTTAATTTAGTAAGAACATGTTGTAACACAAACGCATGATAGCATAAAAAAAATTTACAATGACATTCTTATTAAAGGTGAAGGCCAAACTTTAGTGCTAAAAAAATTAATGAACTGAAAAACTAATTAGAAATATTCACATCTTATCTTTTTATTGTAATGTATTTATTAAAATACATATTTAATGCTCTTATAAGTCTATAATTTCTGAAATTCTTTATTAAATTATGATCAAATCATCCATCATCCTAAAAAAACAGGTACAAATATCAGTATTACTTTTACCAAAAACATTTGTAAAATTTTAAAGTTAATTTTCATTAAAAACAAGGTTGCAAAAAAAGCTGGCCGTTTTTGTAAAAGGCAATACCGGTTTTTATAAAAAAGATCAACATTTATTTTAAAAAAAAGCCAGTCTTTATTGGCTTTTTAATATTTTATAATTCAAAATTACCATACACACATTTAAATTTATTTTTAGTGAGTAATCAGTAAAATAATATAAGTAAAATATTTTAAGATATTAATTTTTTATGGGCATTTGTTCCATAAATAAATAAAACGTTATAATTTTTATGGCATAATTGCTGTATCCATATCTGCTTCAAAAACCAGACATTTTTGTCTGAAATCTTTACCTTTTCCAATCATGTTCTAATTCTACCTTATTTCTCTTTAAAGTGATTCAGAATAATTATTTTTTAAAATTGTTCTAAATCTTCTATAAATTAGGTATTTTGTATTAAACTTAGGATTTGTTTGAAAAAATTTCATTTTGGTTAAAAAGTTAGACTATTAGCAATTAATGGGTAATTTTGTACTAGTCACATACTTATGCTGAGATAAGTAAGTTGATTTCTAATTGTAATTCTAAGCAGTTTAAAATAATTATTCTTAACGCTTCCAAGGTTTAAGCTGTTGCTCCGAACTGTTTCAAAAGAGTTCCAAATTGTTCGTAACATACAATCACATTAATGTACTAATTAATTGACAACTTTATATCTTTTTTTTATACTATAACAGTTTTTGAAATATATTAGCTCTAATAAAAGACGGCTTTTTAATTTAAGTCTGTCTTTTTTAGATGGTTTAACACCCCCCCCCCAAAAGCGACCTTTTTTTTTTTTTGCTTGGCATAACTCTAGCAATCTTGATACACTGGCTGTCATAAATTAAGGAAAAGTTACAAAAATAGTGATAGCTCTCCCACAAATAACCAATCCCAATGAAATTTGAATATGTTGTCAAATAAGAATTGCTAATTAAAACTGCAATATGTAAATTAATGGCACTGTATTGGAATAACGTCATCTGCGCACAAAATTGTTTGTTTGATAGCAAGCCTGTGAATTTTGCAGTGTGTCTGAGATCAGAAATTTGAGATAGGCCAATTTGTATCAATGATCTCCAGGCATCATTTATCCAAAGAACTGTGGCAGAGATTTATTCGAAGACTACAGGCAGGACAAAGTCAGATAGCAGTGGCCAGTTAGCCATATGTGGGTCCTTCTGTGGTTCGTAGACTTTGGCAACAATTTCTAACCATAGGTTCGGCATCCAGAAGGTTTAACCAAGGACGGACAATTGCTACGACGAGTGCCGATGACTGATATTTATCATTATGTGCATGAAGGAAGAGAACCGCAACACAGAGGCAGATCAGATCCTCTCTTAGAACCAGAAAATTGGTGTCGACGTCTACTATGCCTAGATGGCTTCACGAACTTGGTTTGCTCGCTAAGCGACAAGCCATTTGCGTGCCACTCTTGTCACTCCGTAGAAAGGAATGTTGTGCACTGAACGGGAGAGCAAAGGAGAACTGTTCTCTTCACATATGAGTCCAGGTTTAACCTCCATAGCGATAGTAGGCGTTGTTTAATTTGGAGATAACCTAGAATCTGCTATCAACCATCAAACATCCGTGAAAGAGATGCATACCAAGGAGGCAGTGTCTGTGTGTGAGGTGGTATCTCTTTTTGGGTGGTCGTGCAGACCTGCATGTCTTTCCACGTGGAACCGTGAATGCTCACTTGTCTAGAGATGGCATCTTTGATGTTTATGTCGCCCTAATGTTGATGCAATAGTGATGATTTTGTGCCCCAGAACGATTACGTAACGCCGCACATGGCATCGTGGATCTTTAGGAGCAAAACAATTTAGCGCATGAAGTGGCCAGGTTGACCACCAGACTTGAAACCTATCGAGTATTTTTGGGATGCTTCATGAAGACGTGTAGCTTCTTGCAACCTTCTTCCTCAGACCCTTTGCAACTGCTTTGCAAGAATAATGGTTCGCACTTCCAATGGAACTGGTTGACCGCATTATTGAAAGCATCACACATCGTTGTATGCGCTATATTGCTGCTAGAAGTGATCATATTCTATACTGAAAGTACTTTTTTCTATTCTAAACTTATTTATTCATTTCATACGTAATTTCTGTAACACCATAATTGTCTGGTTAATACTTATGTTATTTTATACATTATTAGGCGCACTATAATGTGTGCCAGTTTCATTAAATTCTATGCGCAACTTTTTGAGGTATGGTCCTTTTTGCGATATTTCCTTAATTTATGATAATCAGTTGTATATAAATTCATGCATTCTATTACATGTGTTCACTAATATGGATTCAAGAAACTCTAGTAATTTATTCTGATACTTGATACAGGAATTCACTTATATGAATTCTATCCTTTTTTTTACAATGCTTGAAAAAAATTTTTTTTTAAAGAAATTAGTTTATATTAAATTAAATTTGTAAATATTGATTTGTAACAGAACTATACTACTTTAAAACTGAATTACCACCACGCCATCTTGTGGCGAAACTTTTGAGTTGAACTGCGGCAACCGATTGGAGAACATCTCCAAATTAATCTCTCCGTTTAGTGTTATGTGAGTTTCGTTTTGTTAATATGTTTTTTTTTGTAATTTGNAAGACGGCTTTTTAACTTTAATCGGTCTTTTTTAGATGGTTCCCTCCAAAAAAAGCGACTTCTTTTTTTTTTTTTTTTTGCTTGGCATAACTCTAGCAATCTTGATACACTGGCTGTCATAAATTAAGGAAAAGTTACAAAAATAGTGATAGCTCTCCCACAAATAACCAATCCCAATGAAATTTGAATATGTTGTCAAATAAGAATTGCTAATTAAAACTGCAATATGTAAATTAATGGCACTGTATTGGAATAACGTCATCTGCGCACAAAATTGTTTGTTTGATAGCAAGCCTGTGAATTTTGCAGTGTTTCTGAGATCAGAAATTTGAGATAGATAAGCCAATTTGTAACAATGATCTCCAGGCATCGTTTGTCCGAAAATCTGCGACGGACATCTATTCGAAGACTAGAGGCAGGACAAAGTCAGACAGAAGTGACCAGTTGGCTAAATGTGAGTCCTTCTGCGGTTCATAGACTTTGGCAACAATTTTTAACCACAGGTTCAGCATCCACGAATTTTAGCCGAGGACGGACATACTCGTACCCGATGACCGATATTTATTGTTATGTGTAAAAAAAAAAATAGAACCGCAACTCCGAGTCAGATCAGATCCTCTCTTAGTGCAGCCTCTAGAAGAGTGGTGTCCACGTCTACTTTGCGTAGAAGGCTTCACAAATCTAGTTTGTTCGCTAAACGACAAGTCATTCGCGTGCCACTCTCGCCCCGCCATGGAAAGGAATGCTGTCCACTGAACGGCTGAGCAATGGCAGGCTGTTCTCTTTACAGATGAGTCCAGGTTCAGCCTCCTAAGCGATAACAGGCTTTGTTTAGTTTGGAGAGAACCTAGAACTCGATATCATCCATCAAACATCCGTGAAAGAGATGCATACTATACAAACAGTTTGTGTGGTGTTATCTCTTTGGATGGTTACGCAGACCTGCATGACTTTCCACGCGGAACTGTGAATGCTCACGTGTCTAGATATGACATATTTGATGTTTATGTACGCCCTAATGCTGGTGTTGGTTGGTTCTAATGCCATTTACCACACAGGCAAGCCTGCTTGGTGAAACCGAGAAAATTTAAGGCAGAGTAAGTGATTCTTGTTTTTCAGTGGCGCCATCTATTGCCAAGAATTCTACTTCTGCGACATCATGAGTCACACCTGTTTATAAGGCGGGCCGATCTTCAATCCAGTACCCCCTGAGGTATCGATTTGTTATGGGGACATGGAGGACTTTGCGACTTGACAGAATTTTTTAACGTGGATCAGTCACCAACTACACGAGGAGTCTTCGGCCGGCGGGGTTCGAACTCTCGGACATGGGCCCAGCTCCCTTACCGACCAGGCTATCCCGGCCTAATGCTGGTGTAATAGGTGATGATTTCGTGCTCCAGGACGATAACGTAACGCCGCACAGTGCTCACATCGCGAATGATTATCTGCAGCAGCAAACAATTTTGCGCACGGAGTGGCCAAATGGATCACCAGGCTTGAAACCAATCAGGCATGTTGGGATGCTTTAGGAAGACGTATAGCTGCTCTCAACTTTCCTCCTCAGAGTCTCGCAACTGCTTTCAAGAATAATGGCTCGCATTTCCAATGGAATTGTTGGTAGACCGCATGATTGAAAGCATCACGTATCGCTACATGAGCTGTATTGCTGCTAGAAGTGATCATATTCCATAATGGAGGTACTTTTTGTGTTCACTAATATGTATTCAAGAAACTCTAGTAATTTATTCTGATACTTGATACAGGAATTCACTTATATGAATTCTATCCTTTTTTACAATGCTTGANGTTTAGTGTTATGTGAGTTTCGTTTTGTTAATATGTTTTTTTTGTAATTTGTAACTGTTTTCTGTGCTCTGCTAGTAACTATATAAATAAATAATTTCAGAGCTAGCCCGGTATTTTGTTTTCTTATTGTTTATTGGAAAATGGTTACAGATTAACATAATATCAACTTACGTGCTTTGTATTCTACTTTTGTATCTAAAGAAAGTATAATAATATAAAGCTGCAGAATCATTTGAATCAGCCCAGCATAAAACTCTTCAAAAAATTCTAGGACAGCAGCCTGTCTTTCCAAGAAGGACTTTTCTTCCAATTCGTTCTCCGTAAGAGGTCTCTTGTTACAAATGCGTTGCGCTGAAAATTGTAGAACTTCAACTCGTCTGAAATTAAAGTTAGAACAAATTACAAAACTTTTTTTTTTTTAAATTGGTGATGATTAATAAATTTAAAAAATAAGTAAAACTTATAAGAAACAAAAATCGCAATTGATACAGCAGCATATTTCAAACGTATCATGTTTATGAATATATTAACTATTTCGTGTTTTTATGTTTCAAAACAATTTCAAATTTAGTAAAACAAATAATTGATTTATGGCGGGATAAAGAGAATACAAGAGGAAAAAAAGAGAGGAAGGAGGCAGAATGAAATACATTTAACGAAATACAATCAAATACCTAATGTCTGAACATAACAAATGAGATTATCTGTTCCCAAAGGTGTCTCGCCTAGCCCTAGAGATCCGTAAAAAAAATAACAGGTTGGGCCATTTGTTTAGAAAAAAAGAAAAAATCTAACAAAATTTGCATCCAATCAATTATTCATAATTCATTTCATTTTGAAGTATTACAAATTACACTACCCTGAGCCGCGATGGCTCAGGGGATAGAGGTGAACCGGGGTTCGTTCCCGGCGATGGCTAGTTGATACGAATTCCTCATCCGGCTTGCACTGACCCCAGCGCTGACGTGAAATATCCTCAGTGGTAGACGGATCATGGGTTAGAGTCCCCTTGCCGTCAGGCTAACCGTGGGAGGTTCTCGTGGTCTTCCTCTCCATGTAACGCAAATGCGGGGTAGTTCCACCAAAAAGTCCTCCTCGAAGGCACATTTCTCCCAATACTTGATCCAGGAGTTCCTTGTCTTCTGGATTGGGTTCAAAATGACAAGGCTACGGAGGTAAAATTACCAACACAGCTTAGAAAATTGATTATTCAAATCGAACTTTTTCATCAGTTGTCAAATACGATTCCTTACAAAATTATGAAATTTTTTTTCAGCGCAAGCGCAGTGTGAAAGAACTATTTTAAATACTCATGTAATTACAAAATTTTATGCAATGCTTGTAAATAACTACCGAAATAATCTCTACAAGCTTAATGCTTGATTTTCTGGTATAAGGCATTCAAAAATGCTTGTTTTTTTTCGTAATTTATTGACGGTCCCTCAAACCTCTGAAATGTTTAAACCTTATTGCTAAGTAAGAAAAATCGCATGAATTAAACACCTCTAGTATTTCTAGAGAAATTTGTCGAAAACTGAAAGTGTCTCCTCCATTTTTCTAGAGTAGTGTATATTCAACTGCCCATTTAAACCTAATTCTAAACTGCTATTCATAAAACAATAATTTTTTTTAAAATATAAAATTGATTCTTCACTATAAATATATCAAAATTAATTTGTAGTACATTAGTACAGCTGCAGCTGCTATTGAGCTTTATTTATTAAGTCTGGGTTCTGCCAAAAGAAGCTCGATTAGTTAGGTTTCCTAATCAGAAAAANGGTTCAAAATTACAAGGCTACGGAGTTGAACATTAAAAGTCGTAAATCCAAAAATTGGGTCGGCTGTTCAACGACAGTTGTATAAATATATAAAAAAAAAATACACTGCCCTATAATAATTGGGCAGCTAGATGCGATTGTTTGAGGAAATTTGTGGATAACCCCTGATCTATTTGAGCTTTCTTTTAAAAATTACAAACACTACTTAGAAAATTGATTTAACAAATCAAACTTTTCCATTAGTTGCCAAATACGATTCCTTACAAAATTATGAATTTTTTTTTCCGCGAATGAGCAGTGTGAAATAACTATTTTAAATACTCATATAATTACGAAATTTTATGCAGTGATTGTAAATAACTACCGAAATAATCTCTACAAGCTTAATGCTTGATTTTTCTGGTATAAGGTATTCAAAAATACTTGTTTTTTTCGTAATTTATTGTCGGTCCCTCAAACCTCTGAAAGGTTTAAACCTTATTGCTAAGTAAGAAAAATCGCATGAATTAAACACCTCTAGTATTTCTAGAGAAATTTGTCGAAAACTGAAAGTGTCTCCTTCATTTTTCTAGGGTAGTGTATATTCAACAGCCCATTCAAACCTAATTCGAAAACTGCGATTCATAAAACAATATTTTTTTTAAATATAAAATTGATTCTTCACTATAAATATATCAAAATTAATTTGTAGTACATTAGTACAGCTGCAGCTGCTATTGAGCTTTATTTATTAAGTCTGGGTTCTGCCAAAAGAAGCTCAATTAGTTAGGTTTCCTAATCAGAAAAAATTGGGAATCGTTCAAGGGGATATTGGGATAAATACAAGTGACATAGTGTCACTATCTCAATCCTGGTTGGTTGTTGAAACGTGGCATTTGTGCCCGTCAAGTATCAATTCTTTTAAGTGACACATTCTATATTCTTTCTCTATACATTTCTTACTTAACACGAAGACAGACATGGAGCCATGTAGAACATAAACAAACTAATTATGCAAAGTTGCCAGGTACACAAAACAAAAATATATCACGGTTACTCGAAACTACTTAAACAAATAATAAATCTAAGTTAAGTAAAAGATGTAGACGAGAAATAATTACATTTCAACAAATTTGATGTGCGATATGGTGCTGTATTTAATTAATTTTACGTTGATTAACATTTTAACTTATGTGGAGAAACTTAGCTCAAGTTTAACACGATATTTTTCTTATAAACGATCAGCTGGCGCTGATGTCATAAGTCACATGTGTGGGTATCCGTGATCTTTTTGAAGTGCAAGTACCCAATTGTAGTGGGAAAGAGAATAATTTGAGAAAAATGGAAGGTTAAAATGAATTTAGTTGGTAACCAAATGGCTAAACCAAATAACTGGTTTAGCCATATACATTACTATTTTAAAAGCAAATCTTCTGAGATAAATAGTTCCTGTTTAACTTGATTTTTGTGCTTACCCTTTTATTTGCCATGGCACCAGCAAGCATCCGTACACAACTTTCGTGCCAACTTCTTTAGCTTCAGCTTCCTCTTGTTCTTTGACGTACGCCGATACAATGTACATGATGTAAATAAGCGCTGGCAGAAACAAACAAAACGCAGACACTATACAATAATTTAGTTCTTTGTCGGTGTAGTACTTCCCCACAGCAGAACTATCCTGGTATAGTTTATTGAGATAAATACCTAACTTAATCACAGACGCAGTCAATAGATATGGAAAGGAATAATTGCCAAACAAGGATAGCACACCGTCACTTTTGGGAGGTGGGCGAGTATTGTGAGTTCTGGAGGGTTCGGTGGGATTGGTAGTGCTTCCAGCTACTCGATTTACTTCCTGATCCTGAAAAAAGGGAGAAAAAAAATCTAAATGACAATACCAACATGCGAGGAAACCAAATAATATCTTAGTACATACTGTTAAAAGCGATGAACTAGATCATTTATTTGAAAACGACAATAAATTAAAAGCGATGAACGAGATCATTTATTTGAAAACGACAATAAATTAAAAAGCGATGGGTGATCTAGTTACGCCACTGATGTTTTTTCTGTTTTTGTTCTTTGGTATGATGTTCTTTTTTGTTAGCACTGTTATGTTTAAAATAATTAAAAGTTGTTAAGTTTTTCAACGTTGGTATTGAAAGTTTTTTAAAATTAGAGTTTAATCAGTTCTANAAAATAATTAAAAGTTGTTAAGTTTTTTAACGTTGGTATTGAACGTTTTTTAAAATTAGAGTTGTGTTTTAATCAGTTCTAGTTCGTGTTTTAACGCATAAAGCATCATCTAAAACAAAACATATTTTTTCCCAACGTACCGAGCCCCAATGGGCGTCAAAGACTTATAAAGGTATCATCAGGACTTTTTAGAGTAGTGGTTCCCATTTTTTTTCGGCTATGGAACCCTAAATGATTGGACCTTTTTTTGCGAAACCCCCGGCATCATAAAAAAAAAGTTCATTACCAGCTATGAATACACTAACCAAAAAAAGACAACTAATTATTTTATAACTATTTAATGTGTAGAATAAAATAATTAATATTTTGAATTTTTTTCTTGGTGTATGCATTAGCTGAAAATAAATTTGCTGAATTATGAATTTTTGAAAATAATTGTTATAAACGATAAGATTGCACGGAACCCTAAGGTTCCACGGAACACCTTTTGGGAATCGCTGTTCTAATGGATATGTAAAATCTAACATACAGAAGAAAATGTTTGAAATAGAGTACACTTTAAAATTAATAATTTTATTTTGAATCGAAAAACAAAATTCATATTTAAATCTGCATAAATTTTAAGTTATTAAAGCAGTTATTAATTCAGAAATTTATTGAGAAAAATATTACTAACCCGTTTTATGGTAAAAATAGCTTTTTGTTTACTATTCTATGAAAAAAAATTTTTACATTTAAAAGTTGGAACTGATTTTTTTTCTTTTTAAAATTCAAACTTTATATTTTGGATTTTTAACAAATCAATTAAATATTTTTTTATTCATCATTAACATATAATGTTAGAAAAGTTTAAAAATTTTAAAATAATTTGTTTAAAAGTTATTTTGCTCTCTACTTAGAACTTCGCAGCGAATTATTCTTAAAAAATTGCTAGCAAATATCATAATTTGTTTTAAAAAAAGTTCAATTATCAAATTTTTAGAAACCTATGATCTAAATACTTAACTCATATCCGCCATCCATACGCTGTACTTGTCACAAAAAGAAATTTAATAGTTTTTTTTTTTTTCAATTAAGTTAATAGTTGTATAAAATATATGCATAAATAGTTGAACCACAAACATCCTCTTTCCTTAACATTTATTAATTTCGTCATTTTATGTTGAAGTATATTCACATTGTTAGAATTCATAAAAACATTTTTTTAACTTTTGGAAATTTAATATAATTGAATATTTGCTATTAACTAATTGTTCAAAATATTTAATAAATTTTGACATATCCCACAAAATTGAGACTACTACAAATTCGAGACCAAAATCTACATGTCTGCTTATAATTTGTTCAATTTATTATTATTATTATGATTATTATTATTATTATTTTGTGTTTCTCTCTGAAACATTGCGAAACTGAGCTCGATAGACCTTGATAGACGACTAGGCTTACCAGTGTTCTGGAAAAACTGATAGCTAAAAGGATATTCGAAAACTCGTCGCTTTATCTTCTTAATATAAAATTCTCTGTTTTAAAATTTTTAACACATAGCAGAAATACTATATAAGGAATATTAGTTTTTTTAAATTGAAAAAATAAAGCAGCCAGTTTTCAAATCACCTTTCCGAATTTTTTCAGGACGTTTTAAGTTTTCCCAGGACGTTGGAAAGGCTTAGTAGTTGATAAATGTTTTTGAGAAATTCAATAAAAAATTTACAAAATCGTTAGAATTAATCTTTCAAATGAAAGATACCAATATATATTTTTTATATTTATTATTATTATTTCAATTGTGTTAGTACTTAACTTATTTAGCACGGAATGGAGACCATTTATTGATCCTTCTATTAATTTTTTTTTTTGTTGGCTTTCTGATTTTGCATCAAACCTAGTTTATAGCACTTTTTGACTTCTTTATTTTGACCTTGACTATGTAATGTCATGCAAAATGAAAATACTCTCCCAACAGCTAATTTTCGTCCAAAGGAATCTTGGTATTCAGATTTGTCATTTCCGAGTTCAACATCATGATGTCAATTTGATCAGCATTGCCCATCGGCCGCCTTCATTTTCCAAACAAGCAGGTACTCATTTGTCTGAAGCTGGGATGACGTTAGAACCGCGAGTTGTCATAATTTAAGTGCCATTATTTAAGTATTTCTGCATCATTTTAAGTGTATTTTTTAGCGTGTTCTATCTTAGAAATTTCATATTTTTATTTGAAACCGAAAAAAAAAAATAACCTAATGAAATATTGGTGTTTCATAAACACGAATTCCTCAATTCTAATTTGCAAGATTATGATAGCGTTTTTGTCTTATTTTCACTTAAACGATAATTAGCAAACTCCAATGAGAATACTTTATCTTCACCTTTAATGAGAAAAAAAACTTAACATTTTATAATAATGGTGGTTTTTATGGAACAACCTCATCCTATCCAAAACTTTATCCAAACTTTATCAAAATTCAAGTTTTGAAATAAACATCACAAAAAAATCTATACATTGATTTATTTTTGGTATTAATTATATCCAAGATATTCTGTACATTTTCTTGTTCTAAGTTATGTTGGGGTAAAAAAGTTAATTCCTGAATTAGCTTGATAGCAATGGTAGATTTACAAGATATTCTTTAAATTTTCTTGTTCCAAGTTGGGGTAAAAAAGTTGGTTTCTGCATTAGCTTGATTGAAATGGTAGATTTACGTAAGATATATCTTTCATTCTTTTACAAAAATTTCTGTATCATATGCAATCAAAATGAAGTACCAGCCAGATAATGACGACTGAGAAATTTTCGTGTTTTTAAATCGTTTGGGGTTGTTTTTCATAGATTTATTCTTTAATTCTTCCTTTCTGTTCGCCTCGTTTTTAATGAAACTAGCTACCTTATTTCTAGAACTGACATCTTTTCTCATCCTATCAAGTTTCACAGAAAACTGATGCAGTTCTGACGCAATTTTTTGTTCTCTATCATCATTTTGTACTTCTGAATTACCGGTATCCGTGTCTCTGGCATCCATTGGATCGGGAGGAAGAATCTTTTTTACAACATGGTGGTATGTTTCTACAATTTTTTCTTCTTCTTCCACTTCAGAATATTTCCCTTGCCTTGTTTCCCTATGTCTGGGTTTCGAAACTAAAGAATTAACATGTTTAGATTGCGTATCTTTTTCGATAATGTTACAGCGGCAATTTTCAGCGAAGATTAAAAAACAAATTAAAATGCAAAAAGTAGATAAATTCATTTCTAAAATTTATAGGTTCACGTAATGGCGGTGAAATGGCAAAAGTATATGTTATGAGATACAATTGTTATTGTATATTTCAATACACAACAACTAAATAGTATCAAATAAAGCATCGAAGCAGTTAACAATATTTTTTTCTATCAATAATTGAATTTGCAATGAACAATCCAGGTAACTGTTAACACTTAAACAATAGAGAACATAATATCAACATTTAAAAGAATAAAATATCTTTGTCACAATCATTAATTAATTTGTGTTACAGTATTTTATTATGTATACTTATATATTAAAGTTAATTGCTTCACATTATAATCACCCGTTTTCTTTTTTTTAATTAAAAAAAATTTCAACTTGAAAGTGGCTTAGGATTAAAACACATTGCTAAGTTGTATTTTTCATTTGTTGTTTGATTCATTTAAGCAAAATGCATTTAGTCTAGCTCCCAACCTCTTATTTTATTGTTACACAAAAGTAGTTGGAAATGTTTTCTCCTATAGAACTAAGTTAAAATATTCAGCATTAAAATATTTTAAAAAAAAACTAAATATTAATAAAATATTCAATATTAAAATAATAAAAAATAAGAGTGCTGCAAAAAAAAAAAAAAAAAAAAAAAAAAAAAAAAAAAACGGACAAACAATTTTAAATATAATTTTATTAAAAATAAATAAATTAGCAAAATATAATGAATAAAATATAATTTACTAATAAATAAATTTATTTTCTTTCTAAGTGGCCGCCTTTTTCAGCAATGCAATTGCGCAAACGCCTATTAACATTTTCAGCAATAGGCCGCAAGCCTTCTATTTTTAATATATCCCATTTTGGTTGGTTTAGTGCAGGCTTTTGACCCTAAAATGGGCCATGCACTGTGATTCATAGGACATGGATTAGATCATCTATTATATGATCTATTATCATCTATTATATGCTTGACATTGTAAAAAAAAAACATAAACTAAGAGATATATAATAAAATATTTTATAATTAAAGTGGTTAACAAAAAGAAATGAACTCAAATTAAAAATAAATTAGTTAACTTCTATGATGCAGTAACTTTGTCCAAGTTTTTTTTCCCACATCCTGCGTGAAAATAAATCATAAGCCCATAACAAATTACAAGACATTATATTAGTTGGTTGTACTTTTAAAAAATGCAAACTACATTATACTAAGGCTTTGCATGGACCTAATTTAAGTTTGCTGACGTATAGTAAGTTCCTTCGATATTCCATGAGTATACCATACCTGCCAATTTTCAACATTTTTTCGAAGATGATTTTCCCAAGAAGTAAAATTAAACTACAGCAATATGCAGATTTTTTTTTCTAGTTTAAGAGCTTAAACGCACACTTGTATGATGATCATACTTTGTTTAATTTATTTACACGCAGTAGAGGTTAAAATAATTTT